CCTATGAGTGAGTGTGTAATGAATATGTATGCATTTATTTAACGCTATATGGTGATCCAACGAACTTGTTAAGTATTGCCTAATTTATTACCGAATTTCAGTTTACAACTAATATTTGAGTTTTTTTCAATAAAAATAGTTGATTGTCGGTTTCTTTACCTACATATTTGAATTTCTTACTATATAGAGTCCAATTCAATTTCAAGATTCGACTGTGAACCCTTTTGCAACAAGTATTACGTGCCATTTTAATAGTTAGATTCAAAATATCATATTTCAATATATGAGGGGGATTTTCTTTACACATAAAAAGCAGCTGCATGACTTTTATTCTCCATCTTCATTAACATTATACAATAAAGGAACAAAGTAAATATAGTTTCTCAAGATTGGTTGGACAATTTGTCCCCCCATCTGGTTATGTTCAACAAAGTAGATAGCTGGCAGGTTTTGAATGTACTTTATCTTTCATGAAATGCTTTTTAATGGGGACAAAATATCATATGGACTAAAATATGTTAAAAAAAATATCATATGGACTAAAATATAAATTGTGCAATTCTCCAATTTTCTGTAAAAAAAAATAAAAATATTGTGTTTTTGAGTTCTGTTATTACTGGCCAAATTTATAAACATGATATCTTCTTTCAAACTACGTGAGTCAGTTTATTTATTAGCGGATTGTTGCTATATTAGCTATTGTTGTTATATTAGCGAATTAAATCAAAGTTATAGAAACTATTTAATTTTGTTACTAAGGAAATGTAATGGAAAAAACAATGATCATAATTTTACTGTTTAAGATTCAACATGACATTAACCTACTTTTACTTTATTGAACTTTTTATTATTTCTATGTTGCTTCTTGTTTGTACAATAGAAGATGCTCAAACTTCACAAAAGGCAACAATGGAAAAAAAAAATAAGAGAAGGGTTAATTATAGTGCTTACACGCAAATAAAGAAAAGTAAAACCTATATGTTTAGGTATATAATAACTATGATTTGGGCTAGTTAATTAATAGTATCATTTGTGTTTCTTTAATCCTTGTCCAAGTCTGTGCTTGAAAAATGAAAGCTAATAATGTCATTAGATTAGAATGTTAGTGATTGGGACATCCAATTGTTAACTAAAATACATATTTTTCAAAACATACTTTTCATAGGTGTGTGAATGTTTATAGTCAAATATTTTACCTAAATAATATTTATTAAAAAAGTACCACTCTAATATCATAAATATGTAATTTCATCATTTATAAAATGTATAATGGGATAATCTGGTTAATAATTTAGAGTGTCTAATAGTATCATACTATCATTTGTGTGTTTGTAATCCTTGTCAAGTTTGAGCTTGAAATGTTCTCTACCTGACTCTCAATCTTCTATTTATTGGCCCAAAAGGCATGAAGCTGGGCTTGGATATAGTCCAACCCAATTTGTAGCCCAAAACCAGCACAAACCAACCAAATTTACATGTTCAATTTGTAAATCGAATATGCTTTCAAAGTTGAATTTTTAAATTAAATGTTGCTCACAAATTTCACGTGAAAACTGCAAAAGGGTCAGGGGTATGTTTATATTGTTCCCTTTTTGTACCTTGAAATCCAAACAGATAAAGCAGTCATTTGGCTGTTTGTAGGTACAAAATACAGCTAAGGAACTTTGTAAGTCTTGTAAAAAATTAGTGTTTGTGTTGGATTTCATTTGAAGTAACAATTGGTTTACTACAATTTACAAGGGCATGCTTGGTTTAATTTTGTTTTCATTATAATTTCTCTTGGTTAATTAGATATTTAGTTTTGGTTTTTACTAGCCAAGTGGTATTGATTTTGTTACGATCATAAAATTTATTTCTTGATTGAGTAATGAGTGGTCATACTAATGTTAAGAAATAAAAATTTTGTAAGATGTTAGATTGTTACATAATCAATATTTTCAGTGATACATGGCCCATTAACATAAGAAGGTGATGTGTGATGATAAGAAATATAAAGTAATGTAAAGTAAAATTAGTATAACATTTTAAAATGTAATTTATGAAAAATTGAAAAATGTATAATAGTACTGATTATGAAGCTTAGTTAGTCTTAATAATGAATATAAAGTCTCCAAACTCAAAATGAAATAGGAAACAAATAAAAGAACAACTTTTGTAAATGTGGAATTGAAAAAAAAAAAAATTATTGGAAAAGTAGATATTATTAGAATAATTAGAAAAGTAGAACTATAAATTCCACTGCATATATTACTACAAATCATAATCAAGTAGATATTATTAGAAAAGTTATAGCAGTTTGAAGTCAGAACCTTAATGCAAAGGAATTGGGTGGCTCATTTTTAATTAAATTTGTACCCATTTTTGCAAACACAATAACATGCGCTGAAAGTATTGTACTATTGGTAGAGTAAATTGATATTTTGCAGCTGTCAATAGAATTTTACACAGATAAATAAATAAGTAC